GAGGTGTAGATCACCAGGGTGCTGTTGAGGAAACCGGCGTGGAGCAGCTCCTGCAGGACCAGCCCGATCCCTGTGAGAGGAGAAACAGAGCTCAGGGGGCAGGGAGGGGGTCAGAGCTCAGCCCCAGCCTGGCCACGATCCCTGTGAGAGCAGGGACAGAGCTCAGCCCCAGCCTGGCCAGGCTCCCACCTTGGTCCATGCGCCCGATGGTCGTGTACTGGGCAGCCAGGTCCTCCCGGGCAGCCGGCGTGTCTGGGACAAAGGGAGGGACCTAAACGGAGACAGGCAAAGGGACACGTGGCTGACACAGGCAGCTCTTGCTGTGACACTGGGGACAGTGACAAGGTGGCTGCCACCATGTGCCACCCCACACATCCCCACAGGCTCTCACCTGCACTTGCTCTGGCTGGTAAATCTGTGGCTTCCAGTCAGGGATCCAGCCCATCCCGCTCTGTCCATTGCCAAACTTCTCACAAAAGGGCCCATACTGGGGCTGGGAGTGCCCGCAGCGGTGAGGGTCGTGGAAGGCAACATAGAGGAAGAAAGGCCTAGGAGTGGAAAATGGGGGGCTGTGGAGGGGGTGAAGCCAAGGGGTGCCCAGAGACCTTCCTGGGCTGTGTCACGGCCAGCTGGGGTCAGCAGGACTGTCCCCACCTGATCTGGGTATGGGGGGACCCTGTCTGTGACCAGCTGGGCCATGGGGACACCTCCTCAGTGCAGCCCTCCCCAGGACAAGGGGGCAGCCTCACCTCTCGTCCTGGCTCTGCAGGAAGCGCCGGACAAGCTCCTTGATCCGGGTGATGTTTCTCCCCACCTGCAGGACTGAGCTGTTCTCCTCTGTGTAGGCGAAGTCGAAGGGGTACACAGCCGCCGGCCCCACGTGCTTCTTCCCAATTATCCCTGTGACAATGCAGACAGCTGCTGTGGAGGAGCAGTGCAGGGAGGATGTGCTGTCTCCTCTCTGCAGGGACAGCCACAGGTCCAGGGAGCTCTGTCAGTGGGGTTTGCTTTGGTGCTCCCTGCCTGTCCCAGCTCCTCCAGCCCCTACCTGTCCGGATGCCTGCGTGGCTGAGCAGCTGGGGCAGGCTCCTCACGCCGTCGAAGGAGTTGAAGTGATGCACGTCCTGGTGCAGCCCGTACATCCCGTTCTGGTGCTGTGGGCACAGTCATGGTCAGACCAGGGCTGCCAGCCCGGTTCCAAAACACATCCAGCCGTGCCCGTGAGCGCCTACCTGGGGTAGGCCGGTCAGGATGCTGGCCCGGCTCGGGGAGCAGCTGCTCACGGAGGTGAAGGCGTTCTGGAA